AGACTGAAAGTAGCCGCAATTAGCCGAAACTACTCACTGCTTAAGCAAGCTTGGAGTGAGCCAGCAACAAGCTCTTCATAAAAATACACGATTTTATCAACGGATCATTTTGGACACGAAGGAATAGAGTCACAAGGAACAGACTTTCGAGGAACACTCTGAATTCACGAGGAGTCATCTTACATTTGGCATTACAGATGGAAGCTCGAGTGTAAATATCCTTCTGTAAGTACTTCTAAGGATATACCTATGGAGTAGGTGAAAATAATAAAATTAGAACGTATGTTAATGTGAATTACAAGAATATGAGAGAGCTGTGTCCCTTAAATAAGTCGTCTTGCACTATGGATAGAAAGGTTCATCGATGATGATGAAATGTCTTGGAATGTGTCAAGTCCCTGGTCCGACGCAGGAAATTATCATGACTGCTTTCCAGACAAGGTCCCTCTGATGACAGACTAAATTGCGCATGAGTTCAGACCACTTCCATATTAAGCAAAGTTTGTAAATCATTTCAACATTTTAATATTTTATTTATAAATTAATTTTCTTATTTTTTTCTGTATGTTTTCAATAGTCCAAAGATCGTCGAAGTTACTTTTCACCCTCGTCAGATGCTGAGTTCTCATTTGATCTTAAGTGGAAAGCTCGTTCTTCGGCATCAAATGACCTGAATATAATGTTCAATACAGGTATTAGTTATGATTATATAAGTTTTACTATAATTTCTTCATCTTTTTTTCATAGTAATTCACGTACCTGTTCATATTTGTCATACTTATCTCTAAAGCCATCTTCAATCTTAGAGTGACGTTTTTATTACTATATGCCTTTTAACATCTTTCCTTCCTTACTACAACCTGATTAACTAGGTTTCATTATTGTCGCCTTTAACATCTCCTTAGACATTTGTAATCATCTCTCTTTTCGATAGCCTATTGTCAACGAATAAATTAATTCAGTTTCCTTAGGTTTTTGATGTTCCTAGCTTAAGTAGTTAGTTACTCAATTTTTTCCGATATTTCTAAATGCAACTCATTATTATTGATGCCCCGTCTTCGTGCTTTGTTCCAGCTTTTACTGCATAAAATTTTCTTATTTTGCCCACATGTACCAAGGTACTCTTGCGCCTCCTTTGTCGCTTTCTAATGACAGCATCGACATTGTTTTCGCCACATATTGGAGTAGACCTTCCGAAATAGTCCTGCAAACCGGCAAGGAACGTGAGTGCAATAGACAATGGGTGGCTGCTGAGACTCGGAGATTCGATAATACTAGTAGGTTTAGAACTCTCAATATCTTATTGATTTCTCGTATCACCTATTCAATCATTCTTGTTTTATAAGATTAATTTTTCCTATCGCCTTTGCTAGTTCATGGATAAAGATTATCGTTATTTCCTTTGTCATTTGTATTTCAAGGCCCTTTCGCCAATATGGACCACCAGCACTATATTTACTATGGCTCAAAACTGTGCGCTCGAAAATTTGGCGAATCTCTTCGGTTAATGCCAGAGATGATGTTCAACATTCATGATGGTCAATTGACCATCTACAGGTAAATGCAAAATTTTAACATTGTTAAATAAAGCATCACGGGTCGCATTTTCAAATTCTATTTAACTCTGCTTTGTTTATATCCCATTATTTTAATAAGAAAATAATCAGAGGTAGCATCGAAAATATAGTCTTTATTACCCTCTTTCAATACCTGTTTGAAGTGCTGAGTCCCAGACGAGGTCAAATCTAAAGTTCATTCTGGATAAGAATATTTGTTTGGAAGGAAGACTAAGTATAATTCAAGTGTAAAATTCATATATCAGTCCTTCATCACCTTATGGCATTAAGTGAGGAACTGGTGAATTTTATTGAATTTGGTTGTGACGATGATACCTTGCTCTGACGATGTTTGTCATATAATGGACAAGAGCTTAGCACCTTTTTACCTGAATCGAAGGAAATTACCTCAAAAACAGCATCATCATGGCTGTTGCAGTAAAGCCAATTGACAGCTGGTCAAGAGGAATACGCCGTCGTCTTCTGGTGGAACCTACCTTCGAATCTCTTCACCAAACACTTACACTCGAAATGGAAGTAAGCTTAACAATACTACAGTGATTCAAGTACGCCCCAATTATCACCACTCCGTTTTAGAATTGGCTTTAATCATAGATAAATTTATTTTAGCCTCAGTATTATTTGCATTTTTATCGTAAGTTTACTTGGTAAATCTATTCTATTTTTTTATTCTTCTCTTGTTCTCTATAGTTTATTTAAAACAGGGAATAACGTTGAAGGGAGTTGCTCAGTATAAATCAAACGAACTAATCTGACGCTTAACCAAGTAGTTTTACGAACTAAGTTGGAATCTTATATACGAAGCAAAGTTGGCTCGCGAGTAATCCTTTAGTTTACACTTGTTGAGTTTAGTTCTATCCTGAGTGAATCTGGATGCTATGGAGCTTCGAAGATCTACCCCACCAAAAGACGATCGGGAATTCTTCGTGGCCAGCTGTCATTTTGCTTTACTTGAGCATTCTGGTTGTTGCTCTTCCTTAGGCAATCCTTAATTCCAATTAAGTGCTGCTTATCTCTCAGCATCATAACAGAATATTATTCCTACGACAAAAATTGAACTAACGAGCCAAGAAAATTCATCGACTTATACTACAAACTCTATCTGCCTTCCTCTCTATATCTATCTATCTATCTATCTATAAGATAATGCTTTAGCAAGGCTAATCGATAGCAGGCCAGGACAAATCCGTCGTCATTCTCTGATGAGATCGCCTATTGAATCTATTGCACAATTTCACTAGACATGGAAATGGGCTTACCAGTATCTCATACACACATAAGACAGTTTCTCACTTTTGCTTACCTTAAGATTCTTTCTTATGAATTCCAGCATCTTATTCTATAGCTAATATGATCTTTGCCTATTCAGATACTCTTACATTGTCCATCTCTTAGGAAACAGCTTTATTTTATCTTTTTCTTGAAACTGCCAGCTTTTCTTGCATTGCTTTTATCCAAAAAGGAACATTGCTCTGATTTTACCAAAAGTAACCTAGAAGATCTATTAATGAATCCCAATTATATTTTTTACAATTCTACATAATATCGATTTTAACCGTCTTGCTTACGTTCGTGTTGGACTAAGACTTCCTTCGTTTTAAAATCGCCCTTGGCTAGTACATTTATTCAATAGAATTGGAGATTATCCTATATATTCTTACGTAAAATTGAATTAAATCTCTTTGGGAAGAGTCAAGCGATATAGATGACCCGGTTAATTATCTTGATTCGATGTAAGCTTTACGTCCCCATAGGAATAAATCCCAGCTATAATGACTATCATATAACAGAGGAATGCCCATAACCTCTTAACCGGAAACAAGGAAGGATTTTTTTTGCTTCTTTAACCTAAAATTCACGGTAAACTCAAACGGCAACATATTAAAGAAGATCGATTTATGGATCTGTTAATCACGCACCTTTATTTAAAAAAAAATTTGACCCAACATTCATATATCAGGAGATTTATCACAACTTAAATTTAATAAATGTATGCATAACATAAATAATTGTACTCTAGCCTTAGCTTTGTAATTGCACAAAACAGAGAAAGAAGAAATATCTATGCAAAATAAGAAAGCTTAAACACAGTTACTTTGCTTGTAAGGCCCATTACGCTAAACGATACAATGGAAAACTTCATCGTTCATATTTCATTGAAAGACAACATAATATGAAATGATGTAAAGATTACAATTTTTTATTCTTACAAATTCTGTCTATTTTTCTTGTTTCTTTTTTATAAAACACTCAATTTTTAACTTATTTTGATCAAACCATTAGACCTATTTACTTATAATGTCTTGATACTGTTTTCGAGCAAAGTTATTCAATTAATATAATTTCTTGCGATCATAATGTGTGCAATCTTTTTTTCAATTATATTACTAATTATTTT